TCTACTTCATTGCAGCATAAAAGCAGAAGACCAGAAACTACATGTAAAAAATTCTTTAAAAATGTCACTAAGAAAACAACACCCAGCAGCTTATTTAATGTCCCCAGAGAAGAATGCAAATGGTCAGTCCTGAGGATACTACTGCACTTCTATTGCAACACAACTGCATAAAGCCTTTAATACTTAGGTTGAATAGTTAGAGTGAAATCCATAGAGATGTTGGCAGGCATCCAACATCCTACCCTATTAGTTAAACTTACCTATCAAAAGAGGATGATGGAACAGAAGAACCCTCTGGATATCGTCCCCTTTCTCTGTGATCAAAATCATTAAACCTATTCTGCTGGCGACTATAATCTGAACCATGACTAAAACGTGCATCTGTATCAAGAGCCATCTTCTTATTCTCATTCCAGTAAGGATCATCTCTCCTTTGAGCAAAAAGGAAGAGAACACTAGCTAGTTATAAAGATCCAAACAACGGACTAATATATATATATAAAAAAAAGATGCAATATATAGCAAACAGTTTATGTTATACATCAATATAGGCCTGTTTTAAAGGCAGACAATTCAATAACTATTAATAAATGTACAAGAAATTTAGATAAAACTCTACTCTGTATGATAGTGAAAAAAAAGTTTATGTATGTATACACACAAACACACAGGCTTTCTCAGGAAAGGAAAACACTGAGAAAGTCACAGCCCTGCTCTTGAGGAATATTCACCTTTTTATGATAAGAACGTGAGACAGCAGAACATATTATTAACAGCATTGAAGACTGAAGCAGTCTTCTGTCCTCCTGATGAAGAAACACTAGTGTTCTGCTACTGCACCTACCATAACCACTCACAGTTATATTCCACTAGTACCTATGTCAATTTTATAGCTTAGGCCCATTCTTACTGCGATGTAAAGATCAATGCATGAAAGCCAGTCCAACTCATGTGGCTCAGTAGCAGATCAGAGACATCCTTAGCTTTTTTAAAAATTAACAGCCATCACAATGACTCCTTTAGCCACAAAATTTATTGGAAATATGAGTTCTCAAAGTATAAGCTATAAATTTTAACCATCAAGACAGAAGAACAGCTTCTCTCAATAAACTTACTGAAGTCAAATTTTCTTGGTATAGCAAGAATTTGTTCACATGATGCTTCTCTTAATCCAAAACTGTCTCTGAAAATAAGGTATGTTTCTTACTTGGCTAAGACTAAATGGCAAAAACAAATAAATACTAGAAGTTCAGTTCTTGCACAAGACTGAAAGTTCCAGGTACAAACACATTCTCGAGCTGATTCTTTTCACTAGGGACTACAAACCAGTACTTTGAGAATTATACCTGTGATCTATATCACGTGGACGTTTCAAAGAATTCCTTTTTTCCTGTTCATAACGAAGTTGCTGCTGTTGCCGACGCAATTCTTCCCTTTCACGAGCAATACGTTCTGCTTCTTTTCGGCGTTCCTACCATAAAAGGGAAGGATGAATTAACGCACCAAACCCCAGATCTCTATTAGTAGTATCTATAAAACGATCATCAAATACACAAAACTAATACTTGGTATTTTTTTATGAAAGGCTATCTGACATAATTTATTCATGGATAGTATGCAACATTAAAGAGCATGAGAAATACTTCTTTAAGGACCAGAGACAACTGAGAAGCTACTGAGAAGCTAGAACATTTTCCAAGTAATTTCTTGTGCTACTGCTATGTTCACTGCCCCGAGATGCCTCTCATTAGGTTTGTGCTGACGCTGCTCTATAGGCTAAATATGGCAATTAGGTTGAACTTGTATAGACAGTATGATCCATTGAGCTGCAGCGGGAATATCAGTGATGGATAGGTACAGCCAGTACATAACCAGCAGCAAGAGCTTGCTATTAAATTACGAGTCGAACAAACACAGACCGTTGTCGCTGTACATTGTTCAGCTGGGCTGAGGACTGGGCGAGTGAGTGAAGAGAAAAAAAACACTCACAGAAAGTATGACTGGGGTTATAGACCAAAGTGACACTGCACCGCAGTTCAAAATATGCGTACCTGTTCGATACGAACACGCTCTCTTTCCAACCGTTCCCGTTCCATTCTTTCCCTCTCTAGTTTTTGTCTTTCAATTTCTAATCGTTCCCTTTCCCTCTGCAAACATTCTTCTCGTTCATGCATTATTCGTATGCGTTCTCTCTCACGACGCAAAGCGATTTCTCTTCGCCTAAAAAACAAAACAAAGAGGCAGTACTGTGATTTGCAGCAGGCACTTAACTGAAAAATTCCTTTTTATCCAAAACTAACCTTACACCAGGCAGAAACATTCAGCTATGTGGGAACAGGCTACTGGCAGCAGCCATTGATTCAGAATTCTACTGCTTTTAGCCCCAAACTGCCAAAGTGTCCATTAGCAAGACAACTGATGCTAGGAAAGACAATTATTGAGTATCACTGTTTTGAATATATTCTAAGCTAGCTTCATACTGGTGTGCTGTGATGCAGACAATGACAGCTACAGGCAGCCTAGCAAAACAAACGTTATTTGGAGCTTAAACATCTCACTATATCAAGCATGTTGTCGTCTTGTCCTCTTCAAGCTAGCAAAGACTCACTGCTTTCTTGCTACAGAAAGCAGTAAGGCTGTCTTACACAGAAAGCAGCAAGGCTGTCTTACACAGGTTAGGTATACTTGTGGACAGCCCATTTCACTTTTTCCGTTCCTCTTCCCACCTCCTATAATAGAGCATTTGAGAAGCAGGAA